GTTCTGAAGGTTTGGGTTTCTTTGAAAATTTTAACTTTTTTGTTTTCCTGAAGCTTAAGTTGTTATTTAAAGAGCAGTCCTCCAATTTTCTTTTCAGAAGAAAATTATTGCCCTTCTGTTTTTTTGATGACCTAAGACTGACTGCAGATTATAGTCTCTCTGTACTCATTTGTGCCATAGGAACATGGTTTCCAAAAGAAGGAAGGCAATTCTTTACCCCAAGCAATAAACACCTTGTGTTAGGCAAAAATACCAGTGCTGTGCTGTGGTTTAGCATCATCAGCCTGCACCTGTTGGATCACTGCACTGGAGTAAGAGAGTTATGGATGCTGGAAAGCATCTCTGGAGATCACCTTGTCCAATTCCTTTCTTAGAGCAGGATCACCTACAACAGCTTGCTGAGGGTCATGTTTGGTTTTCAATGTTTCCAAAGATGAGGAAACCACAACTTCTCTGTGCAACCATTCTAATGTCCTACCATCATGGGAAAACTGTTTTAAATGGTATTTTGTGTATCTAGATTTGTGCTTGTTGCCTCCTGTCCTTTTAGTAGATACCAATATTTATATTTAAGAATCAGAACCTATGCATTTGGCTGCTTGGAATTATGGGAGCCTTCTATAACATTTCATTGAGCCAGGAGCTGGAAAATAAATGGCATTTTTGTTTTTCCAACAAGATGTTTCCCACTCCCTCATTTGAAGTGCTGAGTCCTGCACTTGGGTCACAACAACCCCTGAAGCACTACAGGCTGGGCCAGAGTGGCTGGAAAGCTGGAAAAGGAGCTGGGGTTGCTGGTGACATCAGCTGAGCGTGACCCAGGTGTGCCCAGGTGGGCAAGATGGCCAAAGGCACCTGGCCTGCACCAGCCATGGTGTGGCAGCAGGGCCAGAGCAGTGACTGTCCCCTGTGCTGGGCACTGCTGAGGCCACACCTCAAATCCTGGGTTCAGTTCTGGGCCCCTCATGGCAAAAAAGAAATTGAGGGTCTGGAGCATGTCCAGAGAAGGGAATGGAGCTGGGGAAGGGTCTGGAGCACAGGTCTGATGAGGAGCAGCTGAGGGAGCTGGGGGAATCTTGCTTTCCAAACTCCCTAAAAGGAGAATGCAGCCAGGTGGGGATCAGGTTCTGCTCCCACATAACAAGTGACAGGATGAGAGAAAATTCCTCAAGTTGTGCCAGTGGAGGTTTAGGTTGGATATTTGGAATTTTATCTTTTTTTTTTTTTTTCATGGAGAGGGTTGTCAGGCACTGGAACAGGCCACTCAGGGAAGTGGAGTGCCCACCATACCTGGGGATCCAAAAACATGTGGATGTGGCACTTGAGGACCTGGTTTAATGGTGAACATAATGGTGGTGCTGGTTGACAGCTGGACTTGATGTTATTCCAAACCTTACCAATTCTGTGATTCTATGGTTCTTTGATTTCTAAGCCAGGATTATCCAAGGACTCCAACTTGGTGGCACAACTGACTCTGTGCCAGTTCCCTACTGACTCCCCAAGCTGAGCTGAACTGTTGTGAATGACAGACCATGTTGCTCACAGGGACAGTGAGACTCATTGTGTTCCCACTTCTTCCTAATGAGTTGCCTTTTCTTTATTTTATGAAGCATTCTGGAATCTGTTGAGAAAATTCTGTTCAGGAATGTGTATTAATAGTTGAGTACACGAACTCACAGGACAAATCTAACTTTAAGGATGTATAATTTGAAGAGAGCAGAACCACAGTGAGAAATTAGTGGTTAAACTTATGTTTTGCTGAGCAAAACTGAGCATTTCTTACTACACTCATAATCTACAAAGGAAAACAGCTGTATTTGCAGTTGTGGGCTGTTAGATATTTGTAAACATAACTGAGTGTCCAGATACCTCCTAGCAATGGAAACCAGTTAGTCCTCTGATTGACTCCAATGCAGCTCATGAGGCTGGTGTTCAGCCATATTTTCTCCACCAGGTTTGCAGGTAGAAAGGTAAATTCAGGCTGAAGCCAGGTACACATATGTACACAAAATTATAGTTTATCTTTTTATAGCATTTTAGCCTTTAAAATATTATAAATAATAAATCTAACGGAAATATGCAACTATTATTTTGGTCTTAATAATAAGCTTAGAAAAAGGTTGAGTGATTCATAATCCACCTTTTAAACAGCATTAACTGAGCAATCTGAGAAAGGAAAAGATCCAAGAACTATTTTCAGAATCCTCCAGTCTTGGCAGATTTACAGACCAAGATGCTGAAGTTAACATGTACACAGCAGGAAATTACTCATGGGGAGCCGGTACCCTAATGTGATGCCTGTTTTGATAATTAAAATGAAATTCATGGTTGTTTATTCCTGCAAATAGCTTGAAATAGCTTATAATTACAATTAAGTATAGAAATACAAGTCTGGAATACCAAGTAATGTGTCCTTCTGCTCTCAGTCTTATCTAGACTATCCCTAAGAGATGCTTCTTTGGGAACATTCAGTGATGCCCATTCAGCACCTGCACCAATTAGTCTCTGTCAATGCTTAATTATTGTCCTGAGACAATATTTTCTTTTAGTAAAATTCTATTGCTCTGAATTATGCTATTTTTCTTTTTGATATACAATACCTTTATGTATACAGAAGACAAATATCAAAATTTCCTTCAGTCTTGCTTTCTTGAACTAAACAAGTCCTTCAGCTTGCCTTCAAGCTTGAGTCATTTCTAAATATTGAGTGGTTTGGTGTGTTGTGGTTTGGGGTTTTTTTTGTTTTAGGGGTCATTTTTATGACCTTTTGCAGTCTTTCTCCAGTTAATTTATATAATTCTTAAGCTCCAGTTTGGAGGTACAGGTAGCACAAATAGCAATGCTAATAAAAATTACTACAGCAAGCACCTCTTTAATTCATCATTTATCCAGCTCTCTATCTGCTCTATTTTAATGTATTTTTGAATCCTTTAACATTTGTATGGTTCCTCCAGCCCTGATGTTTTCCCAGTAAATGCTTCAGTAACAGTCTTGCCCATTTGCAAGCAGGTGTAACCACTAGTACTGCACAGTTTGCAGCTGCCATTTGACTTGTAGAGCATTAGGTTTCTCTTCTGTGAGAATTTAGGTTTCTCTTAGTGGTGTGATCAGTCTCTGATCACCCCTCACTGAAAACAGCATGGTTTTGGAGTCAGAGAACTGCTCTGACATAAATCCAGTGTGAAAGACACCCTCACCAGTGCTTTTGCTCTGCCAACTCAAAAAATAAGATACACCTTTAACACTTCCACATCACTGTGCAGACCCGGTGTGGCTTTATGGCTCCCTCCTCCACCCTGTCATGTACAGCAGACTGGTAATCTCTGAAGTGTACACAATAAACCTAATAGCTACTAACCCTTATTTCTGATGAGGAAAACTGTGCTGTAGGTCTCTTCACAGCTGGATTTATGCCTATTCAAATTACTCTCTGTGTGTGTGTGTGTGTGTGTGAAAAGATTAGTGACAGCCGTTGTGCTGCAGATAACACCCAGTCCCCCAACTATCAGTCATGAGCAGAACGTGTGTTTCAGCAGCAGGGCAGAGCAGTTTGCTTAATCTTTTGGATACAAAGGGAAAAAGGTCTTGCTTCCAACCCTTGCTGAGTGTGTGCCTCACTCAGGCACCTGTGGAAAGGTTTGTGAATCCATTTTGAGCTGGTGCTCCGTGCCCCCCTCAGTGCGCGGCTCCAGCCACAGCGGTGTCCGGGCACAGCGTAGCAACAGCTTCAAAATACAGACCTGGATTATCTAGGATAGGTAATTGTCCCTGCACAGTGATTGCAGCAATGGCAAACACAATGTAAATAATGGAGGTCACACCGAGAGAAAATTAAACCAGGATTTATTTACTCATTTGTTTTTCTTATATATATTTCATCTTGTGATTCCCTCTTTGATGTTCTGAAAACAAGGCTCTTATCAAGGCTCTTATCCCAGCATGTTTTTTGTTTATTTTAAATTCTCAGCACCTACATTTTTGGAGTGAAAAATGTTTGGATTTGTGGATTGATTTTTTCCTGGCCTTGAAAACTTATCTGTGTAGCAGTATTGTCAACTGTTAAAAGGATCCTGTCCAAAACAGAGCAATTTGTATTATTTTGAATTGCTTATTTTAGAAGTACCTATAGAGCAGCTCTACTGAGACTAAGATTTTACAAATGCAAAGTAATGTATAATCCCTGCAGAGCAACAAGTGATGATAATATATCACCTATTTTGGAGTCTGCAAAAGGAAAGCAGCATTTCTGCTCTGCTCTTTGCTTTCTTTAGATATCAAGGGTTGGATTTGGTTCATCCAACTGAAGGTGTGTCTGTAAGCCATTAACTACACCTCTGCAGAATATCTAGGCTCTTTCTGCAACAAAAACTTATCTGAAATAGCATGGTGGGATGTTAATTCCTGTGGCCAAGTGCAAGCACCACCTATAGAGGGAGATTCCTTGTTGGGTCGACTCTGTTCATTGTATGGAGCAGGGCCTAATTCAGTTTTCCAACCACGGGCATCCCCTGCTGGTTTAGATGTCTAAAGGCTTCTTTCCTGGCCTCCAGCTGCCTCTGGAGTGTCCCATAGATCCTGTCTCATATATGTTTATGGATTTCTTCAGCTATCCTATCAAATGATCCTGGATATCTAAGCTTAGGCAACTGCATCAAGCCATAAACTTTCACTGAAAACAACAGCTTGTTTACCTGTAGTTAAATAAACTGATTTCTACCAGTGACAGTTTAAATACAAATCTTGGACTAGAAGTGAATTCTGGTAATGGACATCTGGAAACAAACTTTGGATCGATGAATTTCTTTTTTCAGGCCATTTAATTTCCCTTTTTGTTTCAGTGTCCCTGCTCAGCAAAAACTGAAGTGCAATAGTGATCAAACAGTGTGATGTTGGACACGTCTGCTGTTCACTTACTGTCTAAATGAACCAGATAAAATTATCTAATTCATTTTATCATCTTTCCAAGACTGAGATCCAGCATTCTTCCTTTAACTTTAGTTAAATCTTATCCTTTTTTTAAAGAGCATTCCCCATATATGTGTCTTTCAACTGTATTCGTCTTAGAATCACATTTTATTTTAGACACCACAGTAGAAGAGAAAAGCTAACTGAACATACTGAATTTGAATTCCTAGATACTGCTTCAAACACAGCTTAAGATTTTAATTGGGAAAAAAAATTCTTTGTTTCTTTAGGTCATAAGACCCTGCATTGCAGACAAATTTTCCACTGTTGTGCCACTGTATTTACTAGTTCATTTAGAATTACTCAATGTTCTCTCATAACTTTGTCTGTGGCTGAAAAAAGACATATAAATATTTTTATGTATATGTGGCAATATAAAAATATTTACTTCTTTGTGGAAAATGTTATGAACCTGTATGAAACTGACTTCTGTAGCAGAAGAAAAGGAGGAAGTGTGTCACTCTAAAATGAGTCATTTATTTGTCATCTGCAGGTATGATTTTTATATTTAGATCTCTAGATGATCTTTTTCATATCAATTAGTGAAACAATTGTAGGTGAATTTGTACGTCTCTGATAATGCAAGACGTCAGTGACATTCATGACGTTACGATGACGTGCTCAGGGATAGCTGGGAAGGGAATTTGTCAGTGTACAGGTCTGGTTTCAGTACACCAGCAGTGTTCAAAACCAGGATTTTCATTTACAAGTTAATTGATTTTCTGTTGCAGGCTCCATGCAGGTGTTAATTAAGTAAAACTTGAGAACACATCTTCTGAGAGAAAACCATTATCTTCCTGCTTATATGTTTATAAAAGATGAGGCACAGAAAGGTAGAAATAATCTGCACACTGACCAAGATGATTTCTTTGAGGATTCTAGGTAATCTGAAAAAGAAATTCATAGGACTGGATGTGACTTTTTGGGACATGAAATCGAGTATCCTATTACAGACAGCCTCATCATGCAATACTTAATTCATAAAGTGATCAAAGTCTATTTAGAAACTATTACTATTATTATTAATTTTGGAAATCTGTTTCAGAATGTCACTGCTCTAAAGGTTTGACACTTTAATTTCCAAATTACCTTTATTTATGTGCAGTTAAAACATCCTTGCTCTTGTGCCAGCATGGTCCATTAGTAGTCATTCATGCACTTAGCTCTTTTAAAAATCAGTTTAGACTTAGACAATCTCAGATGTTTTGGGGCTAAACCAGCCAATCCTTTTTGTCTCTGTTCCTGCCAGTTGTCATAGTAATCCCCTTCTGCACATATTTTCTTTCCACAAAGGTGCCTTTTTTTTCACAGCTGCATCTTGTCTCAGGTTGCTTCTTCTTTTATAGCTAAACTAAACAAGCAGCAAAAAGATTCTTTTAATAACCTCCTGTTTAAAGATACCTGTGATTGTTTGAGTAAACAAATTCTATTTGAGGTGAAATGTCTATGTTGCTGTGCTTTGGGAAATCTCAGCACTGTGTCCCTGTAACTTGAAGGCTGGTTGAGAAGCAAATTGAAGGAGTGGAAGTTTTGCATATGAAAATATAGGTATTTAATCACTCTTCAGACCTCTGCTCACATCTATTTGTACAACTTTTGCATTAATTTAAAATCTATTTGATTAAAAATCTGACCAGCAGAAGTGTTTTATATTTGCCCACATCTATACTTGTTCTATAAATATGTTCATCCTTAGCTGTAACATTGATATTTTGGGTGGCCCCTCATTGCAAGAGGGTCTCTGTTAGCCAGAAATGGTCAGTGAGGTGCCCAAACAATACTGGCAAGTCCTCAGTAAACAGAAATACTAGGACAACTAATTTAAACATATAAAATTTTTATTTTTCTATGACATTTTATACGTTTAATGTAATGTGTAATGTTTCTATGACATTTTAATGACATTTTATAATGTCATTACAAATTCTTCCTAATTTTAATACACATTTTTCTCACCATTTCAAATTAATTTCTTAAAGCCTAAAGTTATTACAAGGTCATATTTCCCCAAAAAGTTACTAAAAGAATAAGTTGGACAAAGGTGCAGTGTCAAGAGTTTATTATGCACCATGTGCCCTGTTTTGAAGAGGCACCAATCTGTCTTCCCTTCCTTTGGTGAGCACATGGATTTGTAAATAACCGCAGTAAGTAGTTTCCAGTTACACAGTACATAGTTACACAGTGACATAAAAATCACCTCCTTTGTAAAAACACCAGAGATTGATTTATATGCATATCATACTGAACGATTGCATCACTTATTGGACTTCATGAGGCACCTTAAATTCACTCATTTTCACCAAATATAGGCAGGATGCTTATCTGTTGAATCAGTAACTTGCTCACGGCCCTAACACGCGTCCTTGGTGCACTGGCGCCTTGCAGGAGCCCGAATAAAGAACAGCCCAAGTTCAGAGCAGCAAATTCAGTCGCTTGGCTCCTCCCTGGGAGATTGCTGCGAGTGAAGTTTGGCCAGGGCAGAGTTTGTGTGCGGCCCCAGGCGCGGATTGGCCCCGCACCCGGGGCTGATAACAGCTAAAAATAGCCCGGCTATAAAAGCCCAGCGGCAGCTCCGCCAGCCTGGCATTCCCTGTGACCGCCAGCCAGGGAGGAGACCGCGCTCTCCCAGGCCCTGCAAGGATGCGACCAAAGAACGCTCTGCTGCCCATTCCACTTAACAATTAACTTGTCAGGAATGGACTGTGTGACTCATGGGGATGGTAACCAAGTACATCTTATGTTAATTAAAAAAAAAAAAGCAACCCTCCCCCCCCCCCCAAAAAAAAACCCCACCAGACTGAAGGCCAGATTTTCCAAGGAGATTTTTTCATGCAGAGCGTGACAGGTGAAATGTCTTTGGAAATGTGCCCATAGAATACTGTGTACAAGAATGTTGTATTGTATATATATTCACATAATCATCTGTATGGAGAGTGTACTCCATGACTGTGGAGTTCTGAACACTTGGGAAAACAGATGTATTTTCATTTGACAATGGTTTGACTAAGCTGGCATTGAGGAGTTGAGGAGTCTATTCTTAGCTTGCTGTTGATTCTGGGGAAATTCGGTCATTTCCTTGAATTTTTGTTCACTTTCAAGCTTTTGTTTTAAGATGTAGCCTGGGGAATCAAGAGAGTTCAGTGGCTGAGTGCATTGCAATATAAATCTTTGGGTGCCTGAAGTCCTTTGGATGAATAAAGAAGATACCAGTATTGAAAAGCTCCCATTTTAAAGTTTGGCAAAAGTTACACTGACTTGAAAACAGGGTGTAAATGGGGAAAGAATTAGAATGCATTAAAAATCAGTGGCACTATCAGCCCTATCAATAGTAAACTATTCCCACGTGTATTACTTCCAGTGGCTCTGAGTCCTCCTCTTTGATTTTATGAAGCTTTGCACTAAGTTTTTATGTGTGGATTCCCCTTCATTTTCATTACAGCATTTTAAATTTTTTTTCTGGTTTACAATAATAAAGTGCAAGGTTTATAATATCTTGGAACAGTGACAGATGACCTGGCTAACTTACTTTCAGTTTTGATTCTATATACTTAGTTCTCTAAAAAGGGCTATGAATTACCTTTTAATTTGTTGTTTAATTGCTAGATCTCTCATCGCATATGAGAGAATTGTAGAGCTTGTTGGTTTGATAATTCTGTACCCTAAAGTCATCTTTTTGTGGTCAGGAGACCCAGCATGGTCAGAGATGACAGAAACTCCCTCTAGTCAATATCCACAGCTGAGAGGAGTCAAACCTCACAACACACACAAACTTCACCTTTCTGAATTCTGTTTTTCTTCTCTGAAAGTCAATTTTCTGCATGAACCTGTAGGCAAGGCTTAACTGGAGAGTCTGTTTGCTGCCACCCTCTGCAGGTGAATCTAGTTTTCTCTCAACATCATAGACACGTTTATATATATTTATTAATTAGTCTGGTATCAACTGTGACTTGCTGCTTGACTAGAAATGGGTAGAAGTTGCTAATTATGAGTAAAGGGGTCCATATCTCATTAGAACTTTTCCAGCTGATGGGGGTCTCACAGGAAAGCCTAGTCCATTTTCTACAGAATTGCATCAGAGTTGTGTCAGAGCAGTGAGACTGCAAAGACAAACTGGGCTTTGACATTCTGGTGGTCTGTGAGGTTGCTGCCAGGTGTTACAGCCAGTGGCCAAGGGTCCACACTTCTTTTATAAAAGTGATACCTGCTACATATTCTGTGAAAATTTGTGCTTTTGGCAAAAGATGGATTTTTTTTGGAAAATCTTCAATTTTAGAGGCAAAGAACCCCCTCATGTCTTTTTAGTTAGACTACCCAGTATTCCCAGTTCTGACAGACTTAAAAAAGGCACCACTGTTATTTAGACTGTGCTCAGTGCTGAATTTCACTAAAAATGTACTGTTGGTCTTAAGCCAACCACCTTTTCAAGAATTATCACCACCATCTTTCACTTAAGGATGTGGGATATGTTCTTTGAAGTCCTAATGAGCTGGGTTTGCTGGTCACCTGCAAAAAGCTGTTAATGTGATGGTTACCAGCAAAATTCTGTTAATGTAAAAAGAGTATTAGCAGAAGAGAAGTTCACATCAGTGCTAAACTCACCACCTTGCTTCAATTCATCCTGGTTGTTGGCATTAACTCTGCAGTGAAAAGGGTCCTCAAGCAAAAAAAAAAAATCCAACCAAACCTAAAATGGAGTATCACCAAGTCAACTTTAGGTGCTGCAAGATGTGGAACTCTTACTTTGAAGTTCTTAGGAAGGAAAAAAGAACAAAGAACCTGCCATTCATTTCATGACAGCTTGAGGTGATGCACTAAGGCAAGTGAGCTGGCAAACTTTGTGGAAAGTTTATCACAGAAGTACCAAAAGGTGAAATGAAAAATGAATGAAGGCAATTTATTAAGGAGAATGGAAGAGTTCTTCAGGTCACAGAGAGGCTCAAGGTCAGCCAGCTCCATTAACCCAGGCTAGCAGCACTGCCACTGACCACAGGCATCACCATTGCAGAGGTTAAACTTTGCTGCCACAGAGGGAGGTAAGGATGTTGAGCCCTGCTATTTCACACTGATCCAGTGTGAGTTTTTCAGGGAGCAAAAATCCAGAGGCCCTTTTCTTAAGACAAACAGTATCTACACTGCAGAGGATTCTGAAATCCACAGTGCAGATCCATGCACATTACCTGCCCTGCAGGTACTGATGACAGTGAGTAAACCCATGGGGACCAGCCTGAGTCATGAATAATTTCAAACTCAGCTGCTGAAGGCTTCAACTTTTAGAAATAATGTGCATCAGAACATAGAAAGTAATTTCAGCTCTCAGCCAAATTGTTTTCTAAACAACAGTGTGAAACACCAATGAAATCAGCAGCAACTGTGCATTCTTTGAGCCTTAATTCCTGGGAGCAATTGAAGCCTAGCCTGAGATGTGTGTGTTGTACATGCCATTTTAAATACTTTCTGTAAATAATAATTCGTAAATCAGGATTAAAGTAGTGTGATGTGTGCTGGTCTTTTATTTGGGAAGGGATTTAATCCTAGTTTGCATGTTCATACTTCAAATCTTAATTAATTTAGACTTAATGATAAGAAGACTTTATGATAGACTTTACCATAAGAAGCATACAAAGAAGTGAACACAAATAATATAAAAAGGGACTTGCATGCTGAACTCCTGTAAAACAAGACAGGAATATGCATTACTTACTCTGTTGCAGACTTGGAAGTAAAAGAATGTAATTTTAGTTCTATGACAGTAGTGAGTCAACAACAATGGGTACATCACAATTACCTGGTGCTGTTTTTCTCCACCACACTTGAGAGCATGGAGGATTCATTTTGAAAAGCAGGAGCTGAGGATTTCTACATTTCTCCTTTTATCAGCTACATTATCCATAGGGCCACAGTTTGGGACAATCTGTCATGCTCTCCATTGTATCTCCTACAATACCACTTTCCAGAGCAGTCCCAGTCCTGGTTGGGAGTATCTTTTGTTTTTAATTGAAATGTCAGTTTTGGAATGATAGTGAAATAAACCACTGCCCTCTAGAAGCCACTGTACTGAATGCAGCATTAGGAAATGATTTTGTACCTTTTCAGAGCCACTTCCTTACAAATGGGTACCTGAGGCTGTCTCTGTGTGAGCACTGAGATCATAATCCATAATGCAATCCCTCTTCACGCTGAACAGCAGGTTCAGTTTTCCTCTTCAGGTTTTCTCTTGAAGGTGTTAATGCTTATTAATGTTACAGCAAAGTTTGATGCTGCATCCACATGAAAACATAATTATATATAAAAATAATTCCATGGTTTTGGACTAGAACTTTGCAAAAGTCCAGTCTGAACTGATTCAATCTGCTAAACAGAAGAGTTTCAGCAAGATCATTTTAGAGCAAAAATAATGATTTTTAATAAAAAGATAAAGGAGAGCTGCTGTAACTCATGGCTGTGATGGATTCATAATATCTGGGGGTGGGTAAGGAGTGGGTTACCTCAAACTGGCCAGTTAATGGAGTGCAAAGTTTTCTGCTCTAGGCTTTTCCATCCCATCCCATTTATTGGAACATTCAGGCTGCACAGCTGTTTTTGTATCTCTTGATGTCTTTTCTTCCATTACCTTGTGTGTGGGAAAATTTACACAAAGGAAAAAAATCACAGTTCTTCCATCAAACCAACACTTTTTGAGGTACTGTACATCTTTAGAGTCAAGGGAAAGTATCTGGTCACTGAGTGCTGGCATGAGGCTAATGATAAGAGCTTTGTATGTCCTTGCATGGCTTGTACATTTGGGAATGGGAACAGATCTGCTGTCTGGCCCCAAATATCTGAGAAAAATCTTCTGATTTTTCTGAAATTCAGACAAGAAACCTATAGTAACACACTGTAACTCAAAATAAAATAAAAATTACTGGACTGATTATTCGCAGTTTTTAACTTGTTAAATGTGTTGCATATCAAAACTACCAGCATCCAATAAATGCAGTTGGAAATTGCCAGTAATTCAGAACTGCCTCTGGAAGAGATGTTTCCATAACCCATTCAAACTACCCTGGCTGCTGCTTAGGTGTGGAGTTTTTTGACAACTAAGCAGTTAAATAATTCCCTGGTAAAATCATAGGCCTGAATACCATTTACTGTATTTACTGCAGCTGCACCAAGCTTTTACATCTTTTCATCAGAGCAATGAAAAATATTTCCTGTGTCGTATAAAACTTGCAATACCTGCTCTGATGGAAGGAGGTGGAAGGAAGCACTGGGGGATGGATGTGCTTTGTGCTCTGATCCTTCTTGGTAAGGTAGCAGTGTGCTGGAGAACTGATAGAGTTACATTCTGGATGCTTGGCCTCTGCTTCACCCCCTCAGGACAAATCTTTGCTGGAAGTGAAGCTTGGATCAGGCCTATGAAAGCTGATAGTGCACCAGGGCTCACCTACAATAGAGCCTTACGTAGGGACGTGGCTGCTCCTTTTCTGAAGCCATCTCTTCTTTTATTAATGGGATGATGTGCTCATATTCATTTCTATATCTCATAAACCTCAAACTATAATGACTTGGCTTATGAGGAGTTCATAATTCAGTGTCTAATGTTCTTGTGTGTAACTCAAAGCCTCTGCTACTTCTGACTTGTGAGAAAATGATAGGCCAAACTAAGTGACTCATTCTCTGCAGTAAAATGAGAGTGTACTAATTATTTATCAGTATCTTACCCTTAATTTGGCTGAAGAAAGAGCTGATTTCATAATACACAAAAGAGCTGTGTAGACACTAAAAACCATTATAGCCAGAAAGGTTCCACCCAGATGTAAGTGATAAGTCAGTTTTATATGACAGAAAACAGTAAATGCATGAATAGATTTCTAAAGCAGTGCATATAAAAATATATAAATATATATATATATGCATCTATATATATTTCCTCCTACTCACTGCCTTCTACAATCTTTATCCTAAATTCAGCTCCCAGAATCTCTTTTTTTTAAAAAAAACAGCATTATATGAACAAGTTATGTTGTCTGTTGTTTGGTCCCTTCTAGGGATCCCATGGGGGTATTTTTGTAAAGCAGAGCGATTTTTTTTATTTCAGGCAGGCTAGCTTATTCTTTCCATGGATACCTAAAAGCAGAGCTGGAACACCAGATGTGTGGTATTTACTCCTCAACTTCTGTAGCCTCTGAGCACCCCATATCAGGTCCTGGGGCAGGGGTGAGGTGGAAGGAGATGGGGAAGGCACCTCCCAGTGGAAGCACTGGCCAGAGCACCTGAGCCAGGTGGGATCTGGCCCATCCCTGGAGTAGTTTTTATCTGGGTTAGGATGGAAATGGCTGCAGGACACCTTTGCTCCCTTTGTATTGCAAAGTTTCCCTTCTGCTTTGCTGAGCCTCAGCACAATAATCTTCATCTGCAAACTAATTACTAATTATAACACACCACTAAACCCAGACAGTAATTGGGAGGGAAGGATTTGAATGCTTTAACACATTGAGGCTCTACTGAAATTGCTACATCTAGAGTTTGACTTTCAGAAGCACAAGGCACACACAACTTCTGGAGTGAGGGGTGGCACAAGCACAGAAATCAGTCTCTAAAGCCATAGATTTCTTCTACTTAAAAATTACTGCAGGATTTGTCTGACCATTACATGTTTATCTCATTACCCTGGGCTCCGTGGAAAAAAATAGACACTTCTAGGGCATATTTTTTCATTCTAAAATAGACATCTAAATAGGTCACATGCATCACAACTTGTAAGTGCTGATGTTTGGAAAGCTGATTTTATTTCTACCCTTTGGTTTAGCATTAGCAGCATTACCTCATTACTGTGCTCATAGCTGGCAGTATCTTCTCTTCCAGAGCCAATGGTCCTGGGATAGAACTTGTTTAAACCACTTGCCTATATCAAAACAATGTTTTCAGTGAGGCTGAAAAACAATGTTTTTAGTGAGCTACAGGTAACCTCAGTCAAGATGATCCATTTCCTATTGTTCCCAAGAACCCTTATTAAAGGGAAATTATGTCACCACAAGGTGCTAGAGCAAAACATTTTTTCTGCAAATCCCAAAAGCTTATAATTGTATAGTTAATAATGCATTATTTTGGTATGCATTTTGGAGATACAGTGATTATTCTCAAGTTTTTGGCAGACTTTTATAACTGTAATGCATAATTACAATGCAATGATTCTTTCTGCCACATGTAAGTACACTTAGCCCATGTCCTTGGAAACTTGCCGGTAGGCTTAAGAATAATTGTACTCTAAATGTTTGGTAATTAATGTGCCTAGTCCAAAAATTACATGTAAAAATTTGAAATCAAAGGAGTAATAACATTTAATTCTCTTATAGTTAACCTTCCAGTTATTTGAATGAGTGCTAATTAGATCTAAAAACCATAAGCATACTTTTACAGTAATTATAATGATGATTATGTTGTAATTACAGTTGCAACAGCATAATGAGATTTAGTTGTTAACCATTTCAGTCCTTCATGTAGTGCACATGAAGCAGCTGCTGTGGGAAAATTCCCATAAAACTTACCCAAAGGGCCATGGAGGTGTTGGCTGTGACTGCTCTGGAGCTGTGTCAAATGCCTACAGAGAGAACTGGAGGTCACCACAGAAGCACACAGCTAAGAGCACCTTCAGGAAGGGCGAGAGTTTGATCATGTCAAAACCCTCCCCAAAAGGCATCTCTGTGTCAGAAGGGGAAGATAAAACTGCTCATGTCTGGCAGCTCGAGCTGCCAACAACCTGTGAGCCAGAGCTTTGGCAGTCCTGAAACAGGATCGGGGCAGAAGTGTAGGGAGAGACTTCCCGAAGGCAGGAGGACACAAAGTCCCTCCAGGCAGGGATGGGATGAGGAGGAGGTGCCATTGACCCCTTCACCTCTGCCTGCTGTCCCCACCTGTGCCAGCACTTCCTCCCTTCGTGCCTTTTGGCTGTGTCAGGACTTTCTATAGGTGCCACCTCATTCGGCGCTGCTGTGTGGTGCCCTGTGAGTCACGCCAGGAATGCAGGGCGAAGGAAAGGGAGTAGGGATGACACCAGCATGTCAGCAGCAGGTTGAGGCCCTTGGAACTGTCCTCCCATGCTCCATCCAGCAAATCATCACCCTCCTGCCCCCCTCTACAACCAGCACCCCGAGGGACATGCTGAGAAATTGTTACGGGACCCAAACATTGCCATTCCTCTGCTCCTGAGCTCCATCAGCAGTGGTCACATCACAGGTGCTTCTCTCACTCAGTTTTGGCTCCTGCACCACTTTGTACCCCACACATAGTGGGGGCTGCTGAGGCAAAGCTCTGCTTTTCTTCCCATTCCTTGACTGATCCAACAGCCAGTGCACAGGCTCTTTTTCTCTTACCTTTCTTAGCAATAACAATGTTAGGACTTTGAACACCTACAGGCAGGACAAACACCCTTCAGAAAAGCAGAAAAAACATCACTGTTGCTTAAAGCACCGAAACCAGCCCGGCTGCAGGACTTCCTTCTTCCCTGTCCCTGGTGCTCCCTGCTGTAGAATGAGGGAGGGAACAACAGAAACGCTGAAAACAGGGAAGAGCAGAATTATTTGTTCAGAGACCGATCCTGCCGTAGGTACCAGGAGCTTGTCTCCTCCCCTCTGAGTTTAACCCCACCCTCTGTTTTTTTATGCTCGGGGCTATTTTGGGCAGGCAGCAGGGCTGCAGCTCTGACAGATGAGGATACTGTACCAGAGCACAGCAGCACTTGTTGCTCTGAAGAACTACCGTAACAGGGACTGCTCCTCTGCTGCCTGCCTTCTCTTAATTCTTATTAATTTAATTGCCTGCAAACTTGTTTACTCCAGTGCTTTCGAGCTTTATCACTACAAGTGATGTTTTAACAGCTTTGTGGGAGCGGTTCACAAGGGAAACTCGCACGCCGGTGCAGTTGAAACCTCCTTTTGCCACTTAATATTAAGAGATCAGCTGGTAGCCTTGGAGGTGAAAAATGACAGACTCTATTGCTGCTAATGGGGAAGGAAAGGACCCTGAAATTGAGCTCTTTGTGAAGGTAAGTTGCGCTGTGAACTGGACACTGGTGTGACTCTCAGATCGGCTCAGCTTCTACTGAATAATCAAACTTTAATTTTGTGGTGCTGACCAGAAGCAGTGCTGTGGCAGCCTGTTATCTCCTGCACACACACTCACTCTGCTTTCTTCTTCGTGACATTAGAATTAGGTAATGTTGTGGAAGGAGAGTCACAGTTCCTGTGTTTTATTGTTAATTCTCTCCTCCTGAGTTTGTTCTGTTATTCTTAGCCTGCTGCCTGCAATGTACTGTGTCCTAACTTTAGACTTGAGGCTGTAGGCTTCAGGTTTTGCTCTATGAAATCCTGACTTTCTTTTCCATTTTTGGGAAGAGCTGGGGGGTACCAGGATTTGGTATCTCAGCAGAGGCTGTCAGGTCTGAAATGCTGATGAACCATAAAACAAGAAGGACTGAGATAAGCTGTCAGTCTTTTGATTATTTATTGCAATGCTTCCCTTTTTTTCCCTAAACCAATAAAAACTTAATCAGTTTTTACTGTCAGTTTCCTCAGACTGAAGCTCATTCTGATTTTATAGAAGAGTAACTGAGAACAGAAAGCAATTTAATGAAAATATAGAAAAAATACCACACCTTTTATGTGGTAGGGTTTCAGAATGTTTCAAGTTGTGTATGACAATTGGTCTTGGGCTGTAAAAACCTTCCCACTAAAATCAGTGGCACGGTTGAAACCTGTGACACATACAATCTTATTAATAGCAAACTTCATGCGAACTCTTCTCAGTGAAGAGCTCAGATTTTTTCATGTTCAGAATGTTTTAAGGCCTCTACACACATTGAGGCTGAGATACCCTATGCCCACGTAAAATCATGGAATGGCTTGGTTTGGAAGGGACCTCAAAGATCATCTTGTTCCAATCCTCTTGCCATGGGTAAGGGCATCTTCCACTAGACCAGATTGCTTAAAATCTTGTTCAGTCTGGCCTGGAACACTTGCAGGTGTTTGGTCTCTCTGAGCCTAATCCATTCCTGTAAATCCATTGGATTATTATTAATATGTGGGAGTTACCTCAGACCCTTAGCAAACAGAGCCCTGAATGATTAGGAAAGCAAATTCCAACCCCTCCCTTCTGTCAAGATGAGAGTGTGTAATTGCTTTGTACTCCCTGATGGATATTTTGGGCTGTAAGTTGAAATGTCAGCCACATCCATGATGTGTATACACAGCCTCTTCACACATCTTCCAAAACCAGTCAGTTCAGGTGCAGGTGCTGTGAGTGAGACTGCAGTGAGGTCTTTTTCCATAGCAAACAGATTTGACAAGAATTTCAGGTTCATAAGAGCCCCATAGATACTTTTTACAGAGAGCTTAATGGGATAAAATGGACCAGCATGACTCCATACAACCAGACACCTCACCTCTTACAAGTTGTTTCTACCAAATTGTGTTTAATGGAGATGTTTATGGGCTAAAAAATAGGTTTGTGATGTTGTTTGGTACTCTGTCATCAGTCAAATGTGTGCTGGAATGGAAATATGCAGCTACTGATTTGTTTTAGTGCTCACACTATTTCACTGAGGCTGACATGGATGTTTGTGATATGTGGTTCTTTGACTGCATCAGTTGTTAAAGTGAAGGTCATTGCTCAGATTCATTGTGTGAAGCTCTGGATCTATAAGATACTGGGGAAAATGAGTACTGCATTAAACCAAGCCATGCCACTACCTGAAGATTTATAGCTCCAGAAAGAACATTTTTAGTAATGTGACTTCCTGCATAATGCATATTACAGAATTGCATAGAGACTCACATAAAACTCAGAGCTGGAACAGAAGAATTAATTGGTATCTTCCTGGAGACTTTCCATTTAGGTTGAAAAATTGCAATTCTTGATGTTTTGGAAAGGTGCCATTAATTTAATTAAAAGTTTAAAAGGTTCTATGGTAAAGCATGTGACCAGAGTATTAAATTATACACCTCAGAAGTTCAAAAATAAAAAGAGAACATCCAAAGGAGACACAAGCTGAAAAATATGAGAATGTAAGAGAGTCATGAACAGGTGAAAACGTTTCTGGAGGATGACTGCAAAGAATAGAATATTGGTAAGGTAAACAGGAAGGCTGATCCAGGAGATACTCCGCAAAAGAAAAGAATTATTCTGCCAGCTTTAAGGCAGGAAAGAACAGAAAAGTGGGAACTTCTGGAGGACCATGAGATACTGGGACAAGTGGCAAATGCAAATATACTGGACCACACTTGAGGCAAGTTCTGACAGCAGAGGATGTTAAGATCAATGAGCAATTCCTCATTTGAGTTTCATAGAGGTGATACTTCACCCAAGGAAGAGTTCTGTGCTGCATCCCTGAAGGAGCCCACAGAAAAGGCAGCAACAAGTGAGAAAATGTAGGGCAGTAGATGTGGCCTGCTGGAAACTGTATCTTCCACAAGCCCAAAAAAACCAGAAAGGGCTGTTTTTCACCAGCCACAGTGTCCCCAATAAAAGCATTTTCTGTCTCAGCTTAAAAAAAGAAAGGTGTTACACAATTGCTCTATTTCCCTTTGGTGTTTGTCAAGCAGGAGTCAGGCAGACAAGCAGGGAGCAGGGCTGTAACCAAAAGAGCTGCTCTGTAACCTAATGCAGGCTGGCTCGGGAGCTCCTGGGCTGCGCAGACGGGCTGGGCACCGCCAGGACACGGCTGAGCTGCTGTGGCAGGCACCAGTTAGGTGGTTATCACACCTATTTGTTACCATCCCCATTGATTTCACTTGTTTACTAACGGTGCCCCAGCCTGCATCTGTGAGATTTTTTCGTGAACAAGTGTTTGTTCTTGCAAGGTGCGTGTTTGAGAGCAAACCCCCCAAATCTGGGGCAGGACACGAGGATGGTGGGAGGGTGAGCTCTGCCAGGGAGGTGGTGCTGCCTTGATCAGATGTGCAGCTTGTGTGAGCAGGCCTTTGCTGAGCACTGAAACTCTCCAGCAGCAATTCCCTCTCTAAACTTGTTTGGCAGGGAATTGGGGGAGGCTGCCACAGAGGAGGGTTTGATGCGGGGTGCTGTGAGACGTGGGGAAGGGAACCTCGGGAGGTCGGGCTGCTCTGTGCTTAACCCAGCTTGTTGCAACTCAGGCTGATTTCAGTCCTCTGTGTGCTGGAGAAGCAAAGTGCTTCTGTATAAACAACAGTGACACCCTGCTGGAAGGTATATTTAGCTTTTCCTGGCAATCTTGCACCTGTATGCGTGAACATAATGGCAAAATTGAAATAGTGCTCTTATTACTTAAGTAATACAATTAAAACCCATAAGGGAGGACCGCAGGACTTTTGTGGCTTCTTTTTGTTTGCAGTGGAAACAGGTGTTTCGATGTGCATTCCTTGTCTTTCAGGATTAGAGTAGTACCTAATATCAAAAATTAATTTGAAGGGAGATACATTGTACCCATGGAAAACAAAACATGATGCAGAGAGGACTGCATGCTCAGAATGCAGTTTAGAAAGCAAACAAACCAAGTGAACCAAAGTAAATTTAATTTTAAAAATCTTCCTGCTTTTGAAACATTCTATAACAAGATATCTTAACTCTTATTTCTGATAGAGAAAAGATGGTGATATCATGGGGGTAGGAGAATGTGTGGTAAGCTGGCAGGCAGAAGGAGTCATTGCTGTGGCACTGATGGATTAATATTATGGGTATGTTCGTTGGTGTCCTGGGCTGAACTCAAATCAGAGGGACCAGTCAGTCAAGGGAGGTGATTCTGCCCCTCTGCTCCACTCTTTTGAGACCCCACCTGCACTGCTGCATCCAGCTCGGGGCTCCTCAGCACAAGGAAGATGTGAACCCACAGGAATGAGCCCAGAAGAGGCCACAAATGGGATCAGAGGGCTGGAACACCTCTGCTATGAAAACAGCTTGGAGAAGAGAAAGCTCCAGGAAAACCTTATAGAACCTTCCAGTACCTAAAGGGGATAGAGAGACACCTTCCACAAGGGCAAACAGGATAAAGTGGGATGGCTTTAAGCTAAAGGGGGCTAGGTTTATATTAGATTTTAGGAAGAGGTTCTGTATTTAAGGGTGGTGAGGTCCTGGGACAGGCTGCCTGAAGTTGTGAATTCCTGACAGTGTTCAAGACCAGGCTGGCTGGAGCTCTGAGCAGCCTGGTATTGTAGAGGGTGTCCCTGCCCTTGGCAGGAAAGTTGGAATGACATCACTTTAATATCCCTTGCAACTCGAACCATTCTAGGATTAGCTGAGCAAGAGCTTTTGCTTAAATGTGCAAGGCTTTACTTCTCAGTGTTCGCCCACAGTCGCACTGAACACCCTTCTAGGGAATGTGAAGGTGCTGCAAGTGTAGAAATCAAAAGAGAACTCAGAGGCCTTGAACTTCCACAGTCTCTACTTCAGACATTTGACATGTCCCCATCTACAGCTGACTGGGCCTGTTAGGATTATGTCCAAAAGTGATGGCAAGATTTAGTACCAAGCTTACTGCTCTGAGTGAATGGGTCAGTCAGAGAGCCAGGACAGAGCAGTCACCCACAGCAGTGTGCTCCAGCAAAGCCCCAGGAGCTGCTGCTCTCAGGAAGGTGTTGCTGCCCTTCTTGTGGACACAGTTATCCCAGAAATTATCTCAGTGAGACGCAAGCTGGGTGGGGTTTTGTTTTGTTTTGTTTTTTTTTTTTAAGTTATTTCTGCTTGAAAGGCGATTTCAAACCAACCTTGGTTTGGATTTTGGTGAAGTGTTGTCACATAGCCTGAAAGGAAGATATAAAAAAAAGTGTTACACCTGTTACAAGCAATAATTCCCCACTGTTTTTTGGCTTTTTTGGTTTTAATATGAGAGAGTCACTCTGATAAGAAAACTGATTTCAGTTTCAGAATTTCAGGGTTATCACAACCAGTACTGGCTTTGCAAACAGGGAAAGATAACTTGGTAGGAGCCTTTTAACCCTTTGTAACAAGACAAGCTCTGCAGTGTGTTTGATTCACAGACTGCCCTCAAAAAGTTGGTTTTGCTGATGATTAGAAATCAGAATCAGAAATGGAGGGCTCTAAGTTAATTTCTGTTTCCTGAGAAGTGTGGGTATTTCCTGAGCTCAGCTTGGCTTTCATACAAAATTATTCCTATGTTTAGCTAAACTTTCTAGATAAAAAGGAAATAACAAAGATAAAAAAAGCACAAGGAAGAATAATGACACTGAAACATCTGGTCCGACCTGTCTGGTGCTCCAGGACTGACCATAACATTTTTTTGTTGCCAAGCCTTTCACATTTTGAAAAAGCTACAACCACCCTACAAAGCAGATGTGTACAGTGTGTGCAGTCTCTGACACTTCAGCTGTCACCCTGGACGTGGTGGCAGCACAGGGTTTACTGTGTATCTTGAATTTTTACCTTTTGGAGCTGCCAAGCAAGTGTTGGGCACCATGGTTTGTGTCTTCAAACTGCTTTTGGTGAGGCAGTTCATGATC